GTGTGTGTGTGTGTGTGTGTGTGTGTGTGTGTGTGTGTGTAAGAGAGGCTCAGTGAGAGAAAGAGAAAGAGAGAGAGAGAGAGAAAGGCAGCAGAAATTTGCAAGAACTGGGGACAGATGGAACAAAGCAGACAGCCAGAGCCATGGGAAATAAATCATGTGCAACAGAGACTATTGATCATTGTGGCCATATCATTTTGGCCCAGAAGAGACCGAGACAATAGCAGGCTATCTCAATCATGTCATGCTGTGAAGTCAAATGGCTGCTTTGGTGCAGTCTCTCCTATAGATATTTGTTGATAGATATTGTTATCTGTGAACATTTTTTGTAGTTACTTAAAGAAAGCACTATTATAACTGTAGCAAGGTCATACTGTACTGTCTGAATGCCTCAAATCACAGGAAATCTTCTTTTGCAGACACAAGAGGAAGGTGTTCAAGCAAGGAATCTGCATCGTTGAGAACAGACGCAAGTAGATAATAGCTTTCTAGTTATCTTGTTATTATGTGGTTCTTTTTTTTCTGAAATGCCCTTGAAATTGAAAATTAATTTAAGATTATTATCATAAAACCTCAAGTAAAGCACAATTTTAGCAGTCTGAACAGTAAAGGTGAAATTTGATTTGCATTTTAGCAAAAAAAAGTCTAAATATTTCGTCCATTAATTTCTTTTTCATAAAATATATGATTTTTGATAATGATTTTCACTGGATAATAGAAGATTTTCTTCTTTAGTTTGATTTCTTACTTTTTTGTCTCATAAGTCTGAAAGCTTGTAACATGACTTTTTTTCCTTGTCAAGAGTTTAATAATACTTTCTGCTTTCAGATATTTTTTGAGGCACCAATACAGCTATTATCAGAAATTATTACATCAAGTTTCTTCTATAAAGTTCAATAGTATCTGTGACCTTTGTAATACTCTAAATTGACAAAATCCTTATATTTTGATATATAAACTGTATAAGGAGAATAAAGAGAATCATTAAAAAAGTTAAAGCTGTTTCCATTGGCTCGTTAGGGTAACCATGATAACTGAACACCTGTGTTTGCCTTGATTTAGCCTTTTACAGACGAGGCAGAAAGGCACACAGAGTAGAAAATAATCCTCCAACCTGCTGCCTCCTCCCATTGGGACATGTGGGAAAACCTCTACAAAGACATGTCCAGGAGGCATCCTAATCTGATTCCTGAACCACCTTAATTTTGATGTGAAAGAGCAGCAGCTCTACTCCAAACCCACCAACCCAACCCCTCCAAAGATCCACAATAATAGATTAATAAAATCTCTCTGTCTTTAAACACTGACACCCATAATAAAACATCCCATAAAAAACAAGAAGACTCCATTCACTTCCAAGACTTTACTCTCTCAGAGCAAATTATTAGAATGGCATAGTTGTTGCTGTTACAACTTTCTCTTCAGTTTTCAGTATTTTCTTTTTTTGTTGATGTTTTAATGACTTGATACAAACATCTAGTGATCAATAAAGCCTATACAATACGCAATGAACAGTTTTGTTACACAGACTAAAACACAACCAACAGATGGAAGGAAAGTCAATGATGGAGTGAGGTTTGAAACCCCCTGGTTCACAACAACACATTTGAACCAATTAATGCTTTTTTGTGAAAAATACCATTGAATGCTGTATATCTGAATGCATTCAGCTCTCCAAACAAAACCTCATGCACCTGACTCCATGGGAAAGAGATTCCATTTCTGCTAACAGTTCCTGACAAATCCCTAATGGCCCTAAAGTGATAGACTCACAATGGACTGTGGTGTATTATTCTGGCTTCCGCTTAAATGACTGAACAAGCCCCATTTTGATTGATTGGTCCCTAACTTGGTTGAACATGAGCAATCTGACCAGCTGTCCCCAGCTAGACACGGGAGCCACACAGTAACATATGGCTGAACGCCACCAGTCACAGCACTCCGCTGTTTCATAATTCAGAAGTTGTTCCATCACCCTCTATGCTCCACCAGCATTTCACCATTTGCCTAATTAACTCTTTCATTTCCTCAGCACTCGATTGTCTGCAGTGCATTTACAGACAATGGCCACGTGATAGCCTGAAGCAGCTCAGGAGTAACCCAAAGTCAAATTACTGTAGTAACGTGAATAATTTAGCAGGGTTGCATTCCCCCATATGCTCAAATAATGACATAAAAAGATGTTCCATCTACAACGCCTATAATGAACAGACAATGGTAATCACCCCGAGCATCGCCTTGTTTTTCTAACCTGCTTCCTTTCATTAACTTAATGTGTTGATTGGTTAAAATATTATGAATAAACAGGCACTAATGATGCTAATTATCAGAACATATGTGATGTGTTTACACTCAGTATTCATCTGATAATGGTGAACAGAAGCTCTGGCAAAATCACGAGCCCCTGTGAACCTACTCACTGTTAAAATGATGAAATAATCAGGGCACATTGTTTCAAATGAGCTCAATGTTTCCTCCACTGAGCCGGTTAGACTGTATCTCACCGGTGCTGTGGCCTAGCAGTTACCAGCAGAGAAAAGATTAACTAATAGGCAGGATCCGAACAAAAGAAGGATCTGTTACTGTATTTAAATTATTAAGAGGATAGTTAAAATCATTTGAAGTGGGGTGTTTTTGAAAGTTATGAACAATTAATATCTTAAATGTTGTAGAAAGCTTTTTAAATGCTAATGACAAGTCTGAGCAAGCCAAGGCCATGCCTATAATGGATTTCTACCATTTGCAAACGACTCTGTTCTCCAAATTTTCACATCAGTTTATGTATCCTTTATGTAGCTTTATGAACCTGTACACCATTGGTATTTTGCATTTCAGTTAGTCAGAAGAAAAATCTTTTTTTTTTTCTTTTTATTTTTTGCCATAGTTGCTTCAGGTTGCATTTGATGTGCTACAGCTAGCTGCTACTAACACTACTTTTTCTTGCAAATAATAAAACACTGCACAGTGGCTCAGTTGGTAGAGCTGATGCCTCTCAGAAAGAAGGTTGCCGGATCAAAATCCCAGCCAAGGGACCTTTCTGGGTTGAGTTTGCATGTTCTCTCCATGCATGTGTGGGTTCTTCAGGCACTCCCACACACCAAAAACATGACGTCAGGTAAATTGGTAACTAAATTGTCCCTAGGTGTGAGTGAGAGAGTGAATGGTTGTCTGTCTCGTTTGTCTCTATGTGTGTCCCTGTGATGGACTTGCAACCTGTCCAGGGTGTACCACGCCCTTCACACTGTGACTGCTGGATATGGACACCAGTGACCTCCATGACCCTGAAAAGAAGTTGCGGGTATGGATGGATGGATGGATGGATGGATGGATTAATAAAATATGAACCAACCACCATGAAAAAAAGTGTTTTTTACTTTTGATATTTATACACTAACATTAATTTTTTTAAATTGTTATACACATACTGTATGTACAGCAGGTTAAATAAGTATTGAATACGTCACCACTTTTCTCAGTAAATATATTAC